AAAAATGTTTATGACATGATTTAAATTCCAAACTTATATTCTGTTTTTTTATTCTAAAATGAACATTCAAAATTTATTGTTATATTGTGTAAGCAGCTCTACCCATCCATCACTGTTATTTTTGATCAAATTCAAAAAATTGTTTTACGTATGTGATGAAGCTTAAAACATTTTTTACAATATAAAAATATTGAATAATTTAATTAGTTCATGTAATTCTTGTTATATCATTAATAAGCACAATTCCAAATTATATTCAAATGTACATTATTTTAATATATAATAGTTTAATTATGTGTGATCGTTTTTAAAATTAATTCATCATTTTTAACTGATATTGGTACTTTACGAATAAAATATTTTTTAAAAGGCATCACCGATTATAAAATATCACTCAAACCATAACGTATTATATAATTATTTGAAGTTTTGATTTTTTCACTTTGTTCTAGCCATTTCTATAGGCTTTTATTCTAAAACTTATAGGTTTAATTTTTTCTTCTATTACATTTTCTGGCTCGTGTGTGTGTGTGTGCTGAAATAAACTGAATTTACTGTCGATTACGTAAAGAATGAACCCCGAAAAAGTTTTCTCGACCAGTTTAAAATTTCAAAAGTTAATAAGATTTTCATCACAGCGTGCGGAAAGTACTATTTCCTGCACTCCGCGCCGGGTGGGAAAATCTTAAAATCGACTTCCTGCACTCGATGATGAAAAACACTATACGTAACTGAGGCGGTTGTTAATCTTGCACTCGTGTCAATGCAACCCTTGCTACGGTCGGGCTGCAAACTGACACTCTTGCAAGATAGACGACCCCCCGCCATAGTTACGTAATGTACTATTATAATTATTTTTAGTTCTTTTTTAATTTTATTTCCTGATTTTTTAAGGGATTGAAGCTTGTTCCTAATATTTTAGAGTAGTGATTTTAGAAGATGAACAGCCGCGTTTTTATTTAAGATCAAAATCATGAAGATTCATCGAATATTTTAAAAGTTACATCATGATGAAGAAATAGTATATTTTGTAACAACTGCTTCGCGCACTTATCACAAAATATACTATTTCATCACAGCGTGCGGGAAGTGCTACTTCGCACGCCGCGCCGTGCGGGAAAATCTTAAAATCGACTTCCTGCACTCGATGATGAAAAATAATATACGTAACTCGTGTCAATGCAACCCTCTCAACGCTCGGGCTGAAAACTGAGACTCTTGTAAGATAGACAACCCCCCTCCTACAGTATGTACTATAGTAGCATTTTTAAATAAAACAGGAACGATAATTTTTTAATGAGGAAGCTGTTTGCCAATGAATTAGCAGCGGTTTTTATTTAGTAACTTACAAGAGAACAGAAAAAGCTGAAACAATTATGTGAAATAATTAAAAAGATCCCTTCTTAGAGCAATCTGGAAGGTTAAATTTCAAGCATTTTTTTACAGTAATATTGCTTCTTCATAGAGGAAGCTTAGAGGGGCTCTGTGATGGGTTTAAAATAAACTTTTATCAATTGATATTTCAACTAAGTGTGGATGCGAATTTTATTGAAATAAATAGAATTTATTATCGATTTGGTTAAGGATGAATCCTGAAAAGGTTTGATTTCAATTTGTGTAATATTTCAAAAGTTATTATGATTTTTTAATTATTATTTTTTTTTTTTTGAAAATCATCATTTTTTTTCTAATTTTTTGAAAGTGTGAAGTGATTTATTGAAGTATTTGAGAACAGATTTCAAAGAATGAGCAGCTGAACTTCAAATTAAACACAAAAACGTTAAAAGTCACCTTATAATCACAAAATTATTTTGTGAAAATTAAAATGTTTTTTTCTCTCATTTTTTTTTGAAGTTTTAGTTTTTTTAACGTGGTTTTTTTTTTCTTATTGCGTTCTACTTTAAACTATGAAATAGTTATTTATGACTATTCACGTGTTAAATTATCAAAATATTTTATTTTTAATTTTAATATATTTCCTTTAGAATAATTGTTCAATATATCACTTGAAAAGAAAGAACACCATAGAGTCAATAATATATCCTAACTTTATGCAACCCTTTTTACTTCGATGCATGAAAGTATGCAATTTGACATTTTTGTACTACTTCCTTTATATTATACTAGATACTAGAAACTAGAAATGGAGCAGTGAGCGATACGCACGCACGTTGTAGTAAACAGTGTTGAACACAATTTATTGTTTGATAGTACAGTGAAACCTCCCTTTACGACCACCTCCCAATAGCGGACAAATCTTGCTGTCCCGGCCGAAATACATTGTTTCAAACGGGATTAGCTCCTCTTAAAAGCAGCCAAAACCACCTCTTAATAGCGGACACCTCTGTTAATGGACACTTTTTTCGTACATTTCAATCATTTTATTGGACACCACATGATGAAATATTGAAATAATAAATATACAAAAATTTTTTAAATCATCGAAAACCAAAAAATATCAGCAATTTCATACGTTGTTGATCATTAACACTTATATGTAATTCATTATGAAGTAATGAATGCATAATAACAGTATTTTTAATTTTATATCATTATATTTATGTTCATTTTCTGTCTTCACAGTGGACACCTCTCAATAGCGGACAAATTCCTCGGAACTATCAGTGTCCGCTAAAGGGAGGTTTCACTGTATTTACCAATTTATGTGTAAATTTTCGAGTGATATCTATCCGCATGATCTCATTTCATTTACATAGGACATTTATTATGAAAATAAAATAAATTAATAAGGCTAATGTTATTGGTTCAATAAAACTAATAATTTCCACACAAAAATCGCAGTAAAAATCATTGGTTTTTGGTTTTTAAAGTAAAATTAATTTGTATCATTAAAGTCAACTGATTTCCACTTTTGAATCATCTTTATTTTGAACTTGAACACATTTTATACAATCAGGCTATTTCTACGCGATTCTTTCTGTGTTCAAATTTAATATGTAATAATCGTAACAATTTTATATCAAAGTTTATACAAAATAACTTCGGAACTGAGAGTATTTTTAAAACGAGGAAAGAGTGGTATAGTTAACGGGGTAGGCTATGCCGTTTATTACCTGCTACTACAAATTAAGTAGTTTGTATAATAGTCGCTGTTTAAACTAATTCCATGGTTTACTTTTTATTTGTTGGAATTTGATTTTTCATATTTTATTCTACTTCCCAAGTATGAATATAAAAAAATTGTTGAAACATGAATTTTTATGTAAAATTTAATGAGGAATTCAAATTCGCCATCCAAAATCGTATTCTTAACATCAAAATCCCTAAATTACCAAAATTCAGTCTGAAGGCCAAAAATAAACATTTTCGTATCCGTCGATTAGGCCAAATACCTGATTGTATAAAATGTTCATTGATACATCAAAATAAAACTTCTGATAAATTTTGGCTATCGGCAGACAAACAGACTTCATTTTTGAGCATGATATGAGTCAAGAATCAAGGAAAAGTAGAGGAAAACCATCTTTTATTGACTCATATGATGCTCAATAATGAAGTCTGTTTGCCTGCCGATGACCAAAATTTATCAGAAGTTGTATTTTGATGTTTCGATGAACATATTACAATATTGGCCTAATCGCTGGATACGAACATGTTTATTTTTGGTCTTTGAACTATTTTTTGGTAATTTAGGGATTTTGAGGTTATGAATATGATTTTGGATGACAAATTTGAATTCCTCATCAAATTTTACATAAAAATCATGTTTCAACAATTTTTTTATATCCACCCTTAGGAAGCAGAATAAAATATGAAAAATCAAATTCCAACTCTGATCCATGAGGGGGGGTTGACGCGATATAGTCCATATTGATTGTTAATTTTTGAGGCGTTGCTAAGGCTCAACCACTTGTACTCTTAAATAGTAAAGTTTTCGTTAAAGTATCTATTGTATATAATATGGATTATGTGTAACAGACATTCTATGAATTAAACGCTGTAACCATTTTTGATTTTTTTTGAATTGATGATAATTTAACAAAGAAAAATTCAAAAACGTTTTTATATCAAATTTGGACACAAAAATTTTAAAAAATTCTGTTACATTTGATACAATTATCTTAAAAATTTTGACTTTCTGTTTCACAAAAGTTTAAAGCGAACTAAATTTTACGTATACAAAGTTAGTTTTAAGTGACAAAAATAATTGATACTTTTACAAAACAATTTGAAAATTGTATTTAATTTTTTTGGAAGTATTTTCATTGTCTATTCATATATCGTAATAAAATATTCTTTAGATTCATTTCAGAGAAATAGGGTAATTATAAAATTTTTCTTCTGTCGGTAAACAAAATTTCATCTATATCGGGCGCTGCTACTGGCGAAGTTTCTTCTATATAATGTCATAGTCGAGAAGTTACCATTGAAATCAAGTTTTCAAAAATACTTTATCATTTTATGATTCTGTTGCGATACTTGAATAATTGAATAATTGCTGATAAAGATTTTAACACTACGAAAAAAATCTTCAGGACAGATCCGGCAAAAGTGGATAATTGGCTCAGAAAAAGATATTTTCCAGCCACAGCAAAATTATTGGACTGTATTTTGCTACTAATTTTGCAAAATCATTCTGCTGTGTCAGGAAAATATTTTTTTTTAATCTAATTGTCTACGATTGGTGGATCTACTCGTAAGATTTTTTTCATCGTATACTTACAAGGAAATCTATATAATAACATTCAACAATGTTGGAAAAAACATTATCGACGCTGACTCGACCAAAGTTTAACATGCTTCATACAACATTTTTTTTAAATTATTTGATATGAAAATAAATTCTATCTATCACTATCAGCAAATTAAAATGAAGTTTTGATAAATAATGGTTTTTGTATGAAAATATATACATTCTATATACATAAAACGTGCTTTTCGTAAAGCTCGATCATTTGAACCTTCCAGCTACGCACACTTGAGATACGGGGCGCTAGTGTTTCAAAATTATTTTCACCCCTGTTGCCGTGGTTCCTGTACTTTACTGCTCGATAAGCAGCAGCGTTGGATAGCTAGTATATTTTTTACTCAAGATTATTAATTTATACAGACACAATAGCGCGAACTTGAAAAATTAAAAGTAATCATAATGAGTTAAAGGTTTTGAACACGAAGTAAAGGTGATGTGAAATAGTATGAATGTGAGTCTATAAGAGTTGAATCTATATTGTGGTCTTGGATTGCGTTGGCAAGGTCGTGGGGTGGTTGCCAGTCAACCCAACCCACGACCCAACTGATCGAAAATGAGTCTCTCCCATGAAAATAGCACTTCTGCGATTGTTTGTAAAGAGGTTTTTGATGAAAATTCTCATCCATCGGAGAAAGGTACGCTTGAATTCTTTTCATATTGGAAAAGAATATCTTTAATCATTTATCCAGCTTTGAAATATAGAACGTTTATTTTCTTGAAAGTTCATAAATAATAACCTCAAACCATAAATAACATATTTTAGTCACGAGAAATATTAAAACACCAAGTAAATTTAATAAATATATCAAACTTTCCGTCCGTAATATTAATTAAATAATTATACTACATTGAGAAATTATTGAAAGAGAAAAACAGTATCTTAATAACTCTACTCATCTTGAAGGAGTTGAAAGAATCATCATGTCATCTTTGTTGCATAACTAATGAGTTAATTATCAATTTTTTTCCTCCTTTTAACCTTTAAGGAAATTCATTACTTTTATGTATTGATTATTGGCCACTTTAATTGTATTCAAGCATCATAACCAAGAGTATCAGTAACTTTTTGTATAATAAAATTAATACTTAAGGCCAGTTAAGAAAATTCTGACGTTGTTCAAAAAATTCAAGATTATTACCAACAGCACTAAACAAAAAAGCTTGAACAATTTTCTTGAGAATAGATGGATTTTCTCATTATTTTACTATCGAGTAGCTTCATCGACAATAATAACAGTATATCATGTATATGCGTATACGGTATATATTGAGTGAAGCACACACATGCGCATACATATATACATAAAAATGCATACTTGTGGGGTGGTAGTGCGTGTCGGGTTGGTCGGTTGGCGCGCGTACAAGGAAAATCAATAGAGCCCGCAGTGCGGCAAAAATGTTGTCACTTTGTAACGCAGTTACACAGCAAAACTTGAAAAATAATTGTAGACTGAGTTCGAATATTTCAAATTGAAGCTTATTTTGCATTTGTTGTAAGAAGAAAACAAAATTATGATAGCGTTGGAATCTTCAATAATTTATCGTATTGCTGCAATACGATTCGATATAACTCTTACCAACGTAATACATGATTATTTATCTGTAAAGAAAATAAGCTTGATGAGAAATATTTTATACATTAAATATTCACAAATAATGTCGTTAAAAGATTTGAAGTAAATTGCATTTTTCATGAACATTTTTTTAATAATTGTTTCATTTTAAATGAAAATTCTTCAATATGTAAAAATTGCAATTATAATTCTTAGCTTAAGTCTAAAGTGACTAACTTCTTGTCCACGATGGTATACAAAAAATACACAGCTGACACATATATAATTGACCCCAGAGCTGTCGAGCACCTGCATAGACTTTTTAAAGTGTACATGTTAGTATATGACTGGCTCGTTTTTCTCCCTCTTTATCTCTTGTTATACAAAGAACGAGACGAGTTTCAGTAATAGAATTTTTAAAGTAACCTTTTGAAAAAAAAACTCATGAATTATTTGATGAAGAAAATTTTTTGTGTGCATTAAAATTGAGAGTAAAAGGCCCGATAAATAAAAGATTTAATATTGTTAGATATCGTGACATGTGCTTGGTACACTAGATATGTAGAATATTAAAACAAAACTTAACGATACAAACAAAATTCCTGCATGCGAAAACCATACATTTTTACTTGCCGCAATTGTAGTGATGCTTCTAATAGAATTCGCATTCAAAATTATCATACCCATTAGGGTTAAATATACAAAATTCACTGAATTTCTAAATTATTGATATAGAATTGATAAAGTTTTTGAAATTCTTGAGAACAAAAAATATTATAAATATCTTTTTTAAATATCTTTTTTAAATAAAATATGTTTTCAGAGGTTTTCGATTATGCTCGACGTTTGGGTATCGACCCCGATACAGAACCACATTTGTTGGACTTGGCTCGAGAGGGTTTAATGGCTGCTCTTCCAAAAGGCTGGAGACCCATTTATGATGAAGTATCTAAAAACTACTATTATTACCAAAAATCTACAAAAATAACAACATGGGAACATCCACTTGATCCAGTGTACAAAGACCTTGTGGCTCAGGCTCGTCTCGGTATTGGCCGACGTCGGATCAGCGTCGGTACGCCTGTTTGAATTTTTATTTTATTTTCTTAAAAATTTGCTTTTCTTATTTTCTGATCTTAAAAAGTGCGAGTAATCGTTTTCTTTTATCCTAAATCATTAATTTTAAAAGTGTTAGTTCTTGTAACTGTTTAGATGCAATCTTGTATAAAGTAATTAAAATATCTGATTTATTTTTCAAAAAAGTAATTTCTGGTTAATCATACATTTTTCACATTCTTTATTTTTGTAAAAAATTTTTGTCAATAACATTTTCGTAGTCATTTTTATTACTATTATTATAATTATAAATTAAAAGTGAATTTTATCAAATTAACCTTTTAATTTTTTATATTCATGAAATTTCGGCAAAATCAAGTAAAATTTCACTAAGTTATTAAATAAATTTTTTTAATAAATATTTAGCAGAAAGTGAGAGAATTAGAGATTATTTAAATGTAGAAACTCTTCATGACAAATAAAATTTTAAAGTACACGATAGTTTTATGCCTCACAATGCAGGTACGACTTTGGCCTTTAATAGATATTGTAAACTAAATTAGCACAGCTCTATGCTTTGGAAAGCGAAATATAAAATTAGTTATTGAATAGTTATTGTTATTGATCATACGATTTTTATTTTGTTATTATCTCGAGTATATAACAGAGTAAACTTGTCAAACAATTGTTGTGCATACAGTGGTTTCTGATAATAAGAATAAAATCTTTATGTCAAACAATGTATGTTAGTCAAAGTAGTTTATTTATTCTTAAAATAATAACACTGCCCAAACTCCTAACTTTTTAAAAAATAATTCTTATTGAAAAAATGAATATTTTTTTAGACCTGAAATATTTACTGCTTGACACTGCCAATTTTGCAATTGTCAATTTTTATTTACAATAAAATGTACAGAAACAATTAATATTTTTTTGCAATAAAATATGCTTTTGCTCAGTTCAAACTCAGATCAATCTTTCAATTTAAAAACTTTTAATTCATCATAATCTATTCATTGAATAATTATGAAAACTAGAAATTCTTGTAAGTAAGACTTTTCCGCAGACGATGATACACTGGCTGATGCCGAATCCTCTCGAAGATCAATAGAACCATCAAGAGCTACACCTCCAACGAGTCTCAGTGGCTTACCTCCACCTGGACCTTCAGCTTTAAAATCTCCATCAACTAGAATTCCAATGAAACTTGCACCGCTGAAGCGTCATCGAAGCGAGAGTGGATCAATGATTCCGAGAAGAGCTGAATCTTCTTTAGATAGGTATACTAGAGGTTGGAGAAGCGGAGAATCAGTAGAACCTGAACCACGAAGTAGCAGTGCTAGAGTGTCACTGTCGAGTGACAGAGCATCACGGGATTACACGAATTTAACTTTCAAAGATCCAGAATTTTATGAAAAGCCGAAACTTCTTGAATCCAGTAAGTATCAAGGAATAGTTTCAAATAATTTATATTCAAGTCCTTTGGTAATTTTAAATTTAAATTAAAATTTTTCAAGTTTAAATATTGTTGAATATTTAATCTTATTTATATTTTTATTTATACCTAATTAAATTTACCTTATTATAATATACCGATATTATGCTATTTTAAGAATGTACTCTGATTATTTTATTTGTCATACTCTTTATTATCAAAGCTAAAATTATTCAAAAATATTATTGAAAATTAATAGTTTTGATTATATATTCTCATGAAAATATAAGAGTCTTCAAAGAAACAATTTTGATTACATAAATAAACATTTGAAGCCAGTCATGAATTTTATTTCTTATTACAGATAAAAGAAAAAGTGATATTCGCGATGTCTTAAAACGATCAGAATCTTTAAGTCCTCGTCATGAAAAAGACTGGCATCAGTTGAATATCAAGCTTAGCTCCGAAAATATTATTGATGTTGATAAACTGAGGACTCCTGACACACCAGGTAGTGAATCGGCAGGAACTTCTGGTTTTGGTCAAGCAAGGAGGCAATCTAAAGAGCTTACTCTCAGTGGTGGAGGCTCTATATTTCTGAAGAGTAATCGTAGTCGTGATACAACACCTTGCCAAGATGACAAAAGAACGGAAACGGACTTTCAAATCGCCACCACTAGCAGAGAGGGTGGAGGAGACTCAATTGATGACCTCTGTTCTTCGATAGGTGAAAGACTTAAATCCATTCTGAGGGAACCAAATAGTGAGCACGGTAAAATTCAATTAAAAACATATTATTAATATTACCTGAATTGATTTTTTACTTTTATTAATTCATTCAACTTTTGATTTTATAGATGATAAACCTGTTGAAGAAGAAAGAAAAAGTGTACGTTTTGATCTTCAAAAAGTGGCCATCCAAACAGCAACAACAAAGTTTAACGAAAGTGGTTCAGAAGAGCAAGAAACTGAGGAAAGCGATCCAGATGACGGAGGAGTTGCTTCTCACATGGCAGCCAAACGGGCATCTCTGTTATCGCTTCAGCAAGTTTTGAACCGACCAGGTGGTGTGGATTTCCAGTCAGGTAGGTCCTTTGTAAAAAAGGTTGATATCGAGGCTAATCAAAAGAAAATTATCGGAAAGCGTTTCATCGTAGAAAATGTAACCGAATCAGAACATTTACAACAGCAAGAAAAAAAGTCAATGAACAAATTATCACCAATGACATTGGTAGAAAAAAATCAAAGTATTGATTTAATGTCAAAAAGTGATTTTGATAATGAATTTCGAAAAAATGAAGAAGCATTATTAGACAGCGCAAAGAAATTGGAACAAAAGACCAATAATGGGGATAGCACTCCAAAAACAACTCAAAGTAACATTGATTCAAATCAATTTAAGGCTGAACTTATTCGTAAACATAAACAAGAAATAGATGACTTGAAACAAGAATTAAATGAAAAATTAATTGAAACTCGAAAAATTTTAGAAGAAGAATACTCAAAGCAGCGCCAATCTTTAGAAATAAATATGAAATCTAAATTATTAGAAGTAAAGAAAGATTTAGAACTAAAAGAAGATGAAGAAGTGAAAAAATTAATTGCAGATATGGATGAAGCTAGGGCTGAAAGTTTGAAAAAAATAAAAAGTGAACTTGAAGTATGTTATGAAAAAGAACGTCAAGATATTTTAACAAATCTAAAAGGTGAACTAGACCAAAGAAAACGTGAGTTGTTAGAACTCAGATCTCAAGAGATATCTAAATTAGAAACTGAGCATGAAAAAGGTTTAGGCGAAGACAAACAAATGAAATTACAAGAGATGGAAATTATCAAACATCACAATGAAAAAATTGAACTTTTAAAAAAAGAACTTGATAAAGAATTTGATCAACTTAGAACAGAGTTGCGAGCTCAGCAAAGAGAGAAAATAGCTAAAATAACCGAAGACCATGAAAAATCTCTTGCTGATATTCTTAGAGATTTTAGAGTTGACGTAAGTTACAAATAAACTATTATCGTACAACAGTAGTATTATGAGTTTTACAAATACTCAAACTATTATCTTAATTTATAATTTAGGAAGGTCTTGCGAGAAAAGTCTACAAGCAACGTCTGGAAGAAGTTCGTGCAGATTATTCGAAGGATATCGAAAATGAATTGAAAAAGCATCACGATACTGCCAATCGGCAAGAAAATGTTGAATTTGAAAAAATTAGATGCGAAAAAAGATTAATTGAAGATAAATACAATACTCTAAAAGAAAAATATTTGAAACTCAAAAAAGATATGCGAGCGGCAATTGAAAAAAGAAATAGACGAAAAGAGTTGGCGCAGGCAAATGCAACTGCATCGGAAACTGAAATATCCACATCAGCTAAGACGAGAACGGAGCGAACAGAGTCCTTGGATCAAAAGTTAGTTCAATTTTATTGAAATATATCTATCGAAGTCCATAAGAGCTAATTGTAACTTTTATTTTTATTGGCAATCATTAGCAGTCATATATTCTACTTATGAATTAAAAAAATTTTTTTCATTTTGCTATTCAGCACAATGTATGTAAGTAATTTAAAAAGATTAGTTAAAGAACTTAGTTTTATTATACAACAGAAAACCAATCCCAAAAAATATTCTTAGATGAAAACGAGTACTTAAATAATCGATGATCAAGTAGTTTATTCCATGTATAATTTAGGAATACATCTATTTTGAAACTTTATTTTGGAATTTAGTGTTTTTTACGCTGGTGTCACTGTACTATGATTTCTAGTAATCCGGCATCACTATTTATTTATTTCATGAATTAGACAAATTTAAAAAGATGGAATAGTTTCTGACATTATCTTTTTTGTGTAAATATGTTTTGCTTCACTGTTATTTTTCATCCTAGCTGCGAACCAATACATTAATCACAATAATATAGACGTGATAAGCACCGCCATTCTTTCAAACATTAAATGGTACTTTCACGGTTCTTTTATTCTTTAAGAAATACGTTAGTATTACATTGAAAGAATTTTATGAATAAATTGTAAATTTTACTTTATGAAATCAAATTAGTCAAATTAGGTAAATGAAACCGTGATAGTGCTATATTCATCTTCATAATATATTTCCTAATATATGTGGCTATAGGCCCTAATTTTCACTGCAGATTGCTGTTATCAAAGACAAACTCCATGTCCAAAGAAAGTTTGGGAGGCTCAAATGCAAACTCGATGAAGGAACAGACGCTATCGGATCCTCTACAATGTGAAAATCTATCTCATAAAAGTCAGTCGTTAAAATTTGAGTCGGATGATACTACGACGTGTAGCGAAACTACTTCAAATTTATTGGCAATAGGTATAAAGAAAAAAAAATGCTTAACTAAAAAAACGAGCAGTGGGTCAAACAAAATCAATAATAATATGACAGATAATCCTGTTGAGAATATAAGGAAACAACTCGAGCAACTTGAAGATATTGGTGATCATTTACCTACCAACGATACAGCCTATACGGTTCGATATCCATTTCAAGATAAATGTAAATTTGTTTTTTTTTTGTTTCTATATTATTTCAAGTTAATAGAAAATGCTTGATTTGAGTTATTTTTTTAGCACCAACGAACGTATCTTCAGAACTAGAATTTTTTAGACATAGAATACACGTCGAAAGAGACTCAGTGAAAAGAGCTCGAGAGGCACTAAGACAACAGAGAAGTGCTTTTCAGAGTAGACAGAAGGCCTGGAAACAGCACAGTGTCAGAGCTACTCTCGAGCAGATTGTTAAAGTAAGCTTTTCCACATTTAATTATTATACCTAGAATAAAATGGTGTTTAATAAAACGGCTTTTTAATGCCCAAAAATTAGTACTTTCCACGTAATTTCAAATCGTATCATTTCATCTTGAATTTAAATGAACCGTATTAAAACGGTAAATGGTAATTTTTTACATAGGAAGAGCGTGAATTGTCTGATATGGAGATAAGCTTGCACCGAACCCGCAGTCTCTTGGGCGAAAAAGTTATTCATCTGCGACATTTAGAGCAGTCACTGGAGCGCGTAGCAAATACAAAACGGAATGAGAATGACATGCAACAGATAGCCCTGCAGCAACAACAGCCGACCAAGAACGACGAGATCACATTAAGTGATATGTCAAGCGCAAGCAGCGGTTTTAGCTCGAATGAGCTGGGCTCGGATACATTTATCGGTATAGTCTCAAAGCTTTTTTTGCGCCTTTATTAGAAAATTCTTTGTTTATTGTCAAACGTAGACTTCCTTACTTTTTTGTAAATTTTAAAAACGAAGATCGATTAAATTTTAAAAGAATTCATAAGCGTTGGGGGGCACCGCTTGCTTTCATTTATATCATACAAAATCAGACTACTCGCAAAACTTAAGACAAAATACTGTATCATTATCAAGAATCAACGGAAATCATAGCGAGCCTGGAAAATCTTAACTCTGAAATCCGCGAGATATGGGGCGTTTTGAACAAGCGCCAAGACAATACTATACCTCCACCGCCGAATTTCATGTCATGGTTCCCATATCAGCATTTGGCTCCGCAATCAGTACCTGTAATAGGTAAGATTTTTAAAAATATTTATCTCAACCTCATACGAATAATTCATTTAGAAAAATGTTCATCAACATTTAGCAGCGGCAAGTTTTTGTATAATAATAACTGACTTTCGTGGTAGTTTAATACGGTTGTAAATGTTGATATTTTTATTTTTATTTTTTTTGTAATCATCTGTACCTTGAAATGTTTTTTCTTTGATTTTTATTAATAAATTAATAAGTATTACTGTAGAACGCATGTTACATAAATATCATTAGAGAAAGTAAAATCGATCTAAGTCGATACTTTTATTCCTTTGTAAAAACCGATGAATTTGTTTTCTACCAAATTATAATGCTTTTAATATGTATTATGTCCAGTAATTTATTTGTTTGCAGTATATAAAAAACTCAGCACTCAGCATTGTTCAATTTTTTAAAATTAAATCAAATCTATCATAATGTATATATATTTTATTTATTTTTAGAGTTTTTCGAATGCACAGTATTTTTTCAAAAAGTGGCTATTTGGAAGCCAAAATAATCCTTCACATTATTCTACTACAAAACTTAGATACATCATAACATACAACACTCTTACATTAAAGTAAGCGTCAATAATATAGAAATAATATAAGGGCTAGCATAGACATAGACTCTACTTTGCATGGTGTACATTTTAAGGAGGTACCTCCGACTACTACTCTAGTCAAGTTTTCGTAGTCGCTCGTATGATAGAAATAACTAGAACTAACCTAACTAAAAAAGTCCCTAGGCAGGCGCGTCTGCTCGTTGTTAGCAATTTCGCATACTACATTGATTAGCTTTTGTATGCAGGTTATGTCGCTCGTTTACTGACGCCCGAGATTTGCACTGAATATCACTAAAATGTTCATTCATATATAGTTTTCAATTAATTGCTCAGTACTCGTGTAGTGAAAGTTTACAAAACTTTAACACGAGGTACTGTGATAGTTCATTGAAGGGCTCAAAAAGTTTCACGCAAATCCGTTTTGTAAATTATGAGATATGCCAAAATTATCGCCATTTGCATCAGAAACAATGTTAAAATGTTTTACTCATACCTATTAAACTAAGTAGTGAAATTACACCAAATTTTAACAGTGCATTCCTATTATAAAAATGAGCATGTTCGCATAATTTGGTTTGATTCCGTTTTGTAATTCTTCGACGGAGGTACCTCCTTAAGCTGAATTAAGTGCCTTACAATGCACATACATGGATTATTTTGACTGCCTCATAGACACCGAAGAGACTATTTCGGAGATAAATTTGTACCAGAATTTATAGAATTTCGTACAGGAAAATGAAAATTTTTCAGCGAAAACTAGGGTTGTTTAGGTTTATTCAGAGTTTCGTTTAGCAATTTTTCAATTTTCTTCCTAAAAATGAAAAATTTCATTTACAAATTTCTCCTGAATAGCCAGTTCCAGATAGACACTCTCATTATTTTACTGACTTGCACAAAAATTAGAAGCTTTTAATTAAAAGTTTAATCTAAAATTATTTGTTATACAGGCTTCGGAACACCAAATATTCAATCAAATATTTTATCTCAATTGACGGCTAACCACCCTCCAGGAACGACCCAGAATATCATTGCTCAATATGGACCATCGAGTGGGTTCAGCACAAGCGTCAGTACAATTGAAGGTGCAACTAGTTCAAATCTCTCGGAAAGAACAAGAAATCTAAAAGACTGGTTGCGTCAGGCACGCGTTGAAACATCTGATATTGTTAGTTCTAGTCAAGCGACACTGTGATTGTAAAGCATTCGATAGTCAAATAGTTCTTCGAAAATGAAATATCGAAATTCTGAATTAAAAACGGGGATATTGTGGCCTAAAGTGTACTTTTAAAAGTTATAATCATCCTCTCATTGTGAAGCAGATTATGTAATTACTGTAAATTCTGTTTCAATAGAATCATATGAATTCAATTTTGTGATTATCATCAAATTGTGATTACTTGATAATTTTTCATGTAATTGTGAAAAATTATGATTGATCCATTATTATCCTAATATTAGTAAAAAAATAATTATTCATTCACGAAAATTTCGTGTTACTCGTGAAATTATTCTATTTTCGATTTTTATGTCAATGTTATTTCCTCAGACGAATTTGAAATGTGATAAATATGATTGTTCAAGTACATTTAACAACCACCTCATGCATGTCTTTAATAAAAACATCTAAGTACTCGTCGTTATAATTCAAGATTTTTTAATTACTCTTGGATGAAGATATGTATATAATTTTATTTAATCCTGTGCGACACAGATAATAATACTCTAGCCTCACGTTTTTGAGTGAAGAGCTTATCATACGTCGTAATAAGTATGTGACAATTTTTGTAAATAGTACAAATTACATTTTTTACTTGTTTGTGATATTAAAATAAACGTGAAATGTTATGAATTTATCACAGCATCATTTTTCCTTTACTTTAAATCGATATGGTAACGTTGAAAAGATGAAAAAGGTGCTAAGAATTGTTTTCAATTATGATGTATAAAAAATGACTTAAACCGACATTGATTCAAATAATGCAATCATAGTTATTAAAATAATATTTCATATGCCACTTAAATTTTGAAATTAAGATACTCTTAGAAAAGTAGAACAATTTTTATACGTCATTATCATTCTTGATATTTGACAAAGTTATAGGAGTTAGATGAATCAAAATAATAACGACGTATATATTCGTATAGTAAACTTTAAACGAAAAAGTATTGGCAGCTCAAAAGAATAAATACAAGCGAAATGATAATGAAAATACGTTTTACACAAAAATGAACTTGTCTTATTTAAGTAATTAATAATTTGAGTGTAAACGTTCGTAAAACTTTCTAATGATTTATCGATAATTAAATTAAATTTTTTTTCATGGAAGTTACAATGATATTTGTTTCTCTTGCTATTTTGTAAAATATGCATGTTTTAAATTTATTGATACTTGTAGTCAAGTAATACTTAAAACTGTGAGGCCAAATTAATGAGCATAAAAAATTAAAAGCTTATGTTGATTTTAATTTTAATAATTAAAGTGCAAATGTTCACGAATGTTGTTAAATGTATGTGAAAATACGCAAATAAAGAATATATATTCAACAAAAAAAGATTTTTAATTGCAAAAATAAATCATTGAAGCAGCATCTTTGCTTGATAATCGATACTGAAATTTATAGTTTTATCATGAAATATTTTTATCTGTATAAAATTTATTTTATTGCTAAATTCAGTTCAAATGATTTTTCAGTTTACATATTTTGATTATAATAATATGTAATCTTGTTGACAGACTTTATATTTACTATCGCAATTATCAAAGTGAGTTTCAAATTCTTCTCTAGAAGGAAGCCACGATATAATATCAATTTTACTATTTTTTGGATTACTTCTTATAGATTTTTGAGCAGCCCAAATGATTGGTGAAATTTTGCATATTAAAAGTTGTATACATTTTGTGTTATAACCATCGAGACTGTCAACTAACTGATTTGGCAACTTATCATCTTCAGCTTGCTGCAGTAAACGCTGAAACTGAAAAATAACTATCAACTAAATAGTATATTATGATACGTGTAACTTAAGCAGGTCATTATTGCACGGCTTGGTTAGCACCCGAGCGAAGCGAGGGTGCTAGTGCCGTGGTAAGAGTGGGCTACTTGAGTCATAAGTATCGTATGCATTTTTATAGCATTGTGCTAAATTCACATTTAGGCCCCCTTTGTCGAGATATAAGGTGCTCATAATAGCGTCGCGATGCAATAATGAGCAGCATAAATCACGGCAAAGTGTGCCTTAAACGTGAACTTTAGACACGCAGTGCTATAAATAATACTGATATTTACCTGCATTATTTCAAAATTATAATAAGCTTACCTTTTCATTTTTTTTCTCGACAATTAAATGGATTGGATCTATGGAATCATCAGAAATTTTATTTACATTTTCTTTTATTTTTGGGGTCAGTTTGAAAAGTTCTCCAATCTATAAGTATCACTTGAAAATTCAAGGTTTTTATAATATAATAAGTATGAAAATTTCATAATTTACCAATTGAGCAAAATAAATGATGCTATTTACTGCGACGGCTGTAATTTTCCTTGGATCTAGCCCTAAAAGTTTGAAAATCGTTGATATCACATCGGCTGGTTCAAAAGATTCTGCTTTTGGTTTTTCGTCAAAGTCGGCAGTATCGCCTCTTTGGCTTAAGGTTTTTTTTGAATTTAAACTTTTCGAAACAAGATCAGCTATATCGCGAGCCGTTTCTAGATAACTTTTTGCATTTAAAAAACCTGTTTTAAGTTTATCTAAAACTCCTGTGGAAATATACAATAATTTATATTATTAAAATATTTTTGAAATTATAAATAATATTTAGGTGATCAAAGTTTTAAAAATGCCTTGACTTTGGCCAAAACCATAGACCAATGATAATACAAAATACATGTAAAGAATATTTGAAAGATATGACATGTTGAGTACAAAGAATGCGCTTCTACTAAAACTTAAATAATATTAGAAATATGTGAAACGTGCTCCTTTCATGACAAAGGATAATTTATAATTACGAAGTATTTTATCTTTATCTTTAAAAAATAAAAATGCCAACCAGTCCCGGTTTAGCACTCATTATCAGTCGCTCTGTTAACCATGCGAATATCCTAAAAGTCAAGCTCTCGTACGCATCCTTTGTAATATTATTTTCTCCTTAGATGATAGAGAAGTTCTGTTTTGTGCATTTCGTATATACTCTATGATTGTAACCGAAGTGTATTGTTCATGCTTTCATATTAAATAAGAAAAATGTTCTGGCAGAATAATATTGCCACTTTTTTTTTTAAATCTATTCTAATAATTCATCCATTAATAACATATTCATCAAACTTAACAAATGTTAATTACTATTTGGATGAAGTAAGAAGTTTGAGTGAATTACCTTTAGAAAAATTAATCAAAATTAAATCTTCTTTCACTAATGCAGGTATAATATTTTTATATATTAGTATAAATTTTAAATATTTACAATAAAGTGTATACGTTCAACAAGGAAAAAGTAAAATATTTCATATTATATAGGATTCAATGAGCGTAATTATAACAATCAGGATGAAACAGCATTATCATTGTCGTCGCCAATTGCTTTACCACTAAAAAGAATTGGTGACAGCACACCAATGCGGCGGTACGAAGAATGGGATGAAAAGGGCAAAGACTCCAAAATATCGAAAATATTTCAATTAACTGTCACTGTTCTTTCATTTCTCGCTTTTGGAGGTTACTTGTTAACGCTCATTATTACTGCTATAAAGCGCAATCAAAATAATTCAACCCAAGGGAATGTAATAGTGTTGTCGGTGAGATTATTTGAATTAGCCACTTGCATTTTTAATATGAAACTATAACTGTTTTTTTCAATTTAAAAATAATCAACATTTTTTAGGGGTTACAAAATCTACAAAAGGTAAAACGACCTAAGCGCAAAATTTTTATTTATAATCTCGAGGACAATAATTATGAAATCGATAAAATGTATAGAGGAATGATTATGTTGTCTTCCGCATACAACAAATATTATCGTTAAAAATATTGAAATGAAAAATAAACACTTCTGATGAAAATTAACATTTCATTACTTCATTTAGATTTATCTGAAATTGTAAGTGAAATATACTTTTCAATCATATAATAATTTATAGATTATTTCCATCACAAAAATATCAAATACACAAATATCTTTTACATTAGATTTAAAATTCAACGTGTACATTTTATAATTACTTTTCTATCTACGTGCATCATTATGTATTTTCAACTTCAAATACTTGAAAGGGACAATTTTTTATAAGCTAAAAAAAGGTTCAATAAATTTTGAGGTCATTTAATGTTTATACAAAAATGATTAACCCTAATAATTTTACATTTAGCGCGGTATTTTTACCACGTGCCAAAAAAATTGGATAAAAAAATTCATGTCTTGATTGTATTAATGATGGCCCGCCGAATGTTGGGTCATGTAAGATAATGCAGTGTTGTGAACCGAACATGAGTCAAATCTAGACTTCTTTCGTCATAATTTACTACATCAAACTGATAAAATTTTATTTTTATTAGAATACCAAATTTTTATCGATGTTTTTTGAACGTATAGAATTGAAAGGTCAATCCCATATGATGTCATTTTTTAAATCTCAACGGCTACGTCACTCAAATGATAAACGTCACTCTTGAGATAAACGTCTCTATTGAGATAAACGTCTTTAGTATGATAAACGTCACAAGTATGATAAACGTCACTATCCAATTTGCTCTTCTTATTTATTCAATTTTAATAGGTTTCATGCATAATTGTTAATAACAGTTGGCTCATAATCGCAATTTGCAAAACTGTAAAAAGTTATTTCCATAACATTATCGTACAATTTTCTGAAATAATTGATCCGTACAAATTCAATTTTTTTCATTAATCGCATTCAGTGTATTGCCATTTAAGTTTTACAATATTTATAAAATAGTGTTAGAAACAATTAAAATTTAAAATAATTAAAGTTACTAAATACCTATAGTTATATTCGGTACATAATTATCAATAAAAGTGTACAGTTTGCAAATTTATTTTCAAAAATGCTATTCTTGACAACAACATATATTGGATGTTTATTTGAGTAACAGTTCAGCAGAATGAATTTTCAAATGCTTTGCGCTCCACAAGTGGACACCCTCCACGTGTATTTCAAGAACCAATAGGAAAGTTCTTGAATCTTTTTCGACAGATTAAGCAGTTCAGTCTCAATTCTCATCGGAAGCTGATGTAGTTTAATCTTAGGATAGTGTTTGGTCGATTTAATCACTTTAAAAAAATTTTTACGTTGTTTTGAACTTAAACTAGAAAACTAAAAATAATTTAGCTACAGTGTTAAATGTTAGTAATAAAACCAATTCTATCAAATTGTAATGAAAAAAAGTTAATAATTTTTAAAGAATTGGGTTTCGAATTTAATTGATAATGACACCTCAACGAAAAGAAAACCATTTGAGTTTTGGTATTGATCAGATATTGTCGGATCGATTCAACTCAGAAAACTACTGCAAATTTCAAAATTGTTGTCAAAATAACTTGAACATTTCTAGGCATGCAAGTGAATATTATTTTTCCCGATCAAAACATGATATGAATGACAATTATGCACCTAATTATCAAGTTTTTCAAAACAATGAATCGAGCTCCTTATTTTTTCACTCTAATTTGATTCACCACGCACTGGATTATTCTAGAGGTGTTTTTACAAATTGTGGAAATATTATCAAGCCAGCGCCGATACGTTTCGTGACTACAGGTAAATCCAAAACTTATATTTCTTTATATAACTGTGACTATTTTTTAATATTCATAATTAGCACGTACAGTAAAATTTTGAGTCTGTAATACTTTTTTACGTTATAATAATTCATATAAAAATAAAAAATTTCAAGTACAAAGCAACTTTATACAGGTCTCATGAGTTCAAAAATTCATTATAGTGCATGAGATGATCTGAAAAGAAGCAAAGGGGGAAATATTGTATACTTCTGCGAACTTTTAAATAAACACGAGGCATGCAATTTTAGGGAAGTGAAATTTGCTTTTACTAACATTTAGTTGTTCAAATATACACTTTGAGAATGCTTTGAAGAGTTTGAATTTCATAATTCCCCTGATTAGCACCGCGTAAAAAACAAGTTTGAAGAATATTTATTTATGAGGAATTGTAAATATTTTTATAATTTTTACATTCGATGAAAATTATTTTATACTATAAAAAATGTTCATCATTGATTCAATTGTAAAATTTTTCCTAATTTTATATTTTCAATCGTAGTTACGTCGTCTGTAAAATCTTGCGAACAGATTGAAAATAATAATAATAATTCAAGACGCAAGTCATGGTCAAGGGCAGTATTTAGCTCGTTACAACGTAAAGGATTAGAGAAAAGGTTTATCATTCAAAAGTATATAACTAAGCCTGACAGGAGACAACTGGCTGGAACTTTGGGGCTCACAGATGCTCAAGTAAGATCAATTTGTAAATCCACATAATAATTTTGAGTCGATATATTTTTTTTTTATTCAAGTACAAATTAAAAACATGAATCACCCAAAAGTACAATTTTTTTAAGATGTAAGTTTATTAAACTTTAAAAAAAATTTCAGGTAAAGGTGTGGTTTCAGAATCGACGAATGAAATGGCGACAAAAAATACAAAAAAAGCAACATATTGAAATGCAGCAGTTTGAAAATGTTTCGAATCTCACTGTTTCGATTCCAAGTTACAAAGATATATCAAATAAACTGCAGTCCACAGATAATTGAAAAAAAATTTTTCGAACGATTGAATGAATTAATCAATAACGAATTGAATCGATGTTTTTAAAATGTAAATAAATAGCCTTATACTAAGAGAACATCCTTAGTGTAAAGTTTAAAAAAGTTGAAAATATGACGTGTTATAATAATTTTATGCATAATTTTATATACTTTTAAAAATAATTTATAGTCTAATGTACAATAAAAAAATGTTTCGATAGAATGTTGCTATGGTAACGCTTGATCTTTCTCGTAGACTCATGTGTATTGATGAACTGATTGATTCGTAGAAAAGATATTTATAAAATCAATAACATATAAGTTTTCGTATATAAATGTAATAATTTTATCTTTAATCGATATCAAATCCAATAAATCATAATTTGAAATATTTATTATACCCATTATTAAAATGTTACTATCAAATTGTTTAAAATATTTTGTGTGTCAGCGCTTATGGATATTACCGAAAAATAGGTTACATATTTGCATATGTAAGTTTTCTAACCCTGCAACGGCTGTTGAGAAAAAACCTGAAATTAAAGAAAATAAGACTAATACGATCGGTAAATTTGGATTTTATACGTACTTAATTGATAGCATACATTCGAATTTTTCATTTTTTGTAGAAGATAGATTAACTTCTGATCATTCACAAATATCACCTCATCTTCACTCGTCTTCAACGGTGATAGCACCAGTGATGCTGCAACCTTACGAATCAGATTTATCGGTGAAAGTAGCTGATGATTTAATAACAGAAAAAAGTCCGTTATCATTCGATCATGTACCTGGACCGGCAATTCTTAAACTGTGGTATAAATATTGGAAATACGTACCCTTGTTTGGTACACAATTATTTCATAGCGTACTCATCAATCGTCTTACAGAAGGTACAATTTTACATCGTTTGGTTATTTTTATTATCACTACAGAATAATTTTCTACTTGTTATAGGTAACTTATGGAATCGCAATTCAACACCTTTACAATATTTATTTAATCAATACGGACCGATTGTTCGGTTAGGAGGTCCTTTATTAAATGATATCGTTTTAATTCACAGGTATACCTGAAAATATTCATCAAGAATATTGAATCTTTTAAGTTCATACATTTTTTAATTTTTGTTTGTATTTTCATTAGACCAGAGCACATTTCTAAAGTTTTTGATGAAGAAGGCGAAATGCCGACTAGAAGTGGCATTGATATTTTACAACATTATCGTCTCAACCATAGGCAATATCGATTTTCAGGACCCTTCTGCACGTAAGTTTCCAGAAGTACATGATTTGAATCATTGAATAGTAATCGTTAATGAAAGCATTAGTAAAATTATACTTTTGTATGATAAAATTTGCAAATATTCAGAAAGATTAAAATGAATAATGTATCATCACTTTTTCATGATTATTCTTTGAAGTCAAGGACAAGAAAGTTTGAAATGGATTGAAACCAAAAAGTCATTGAGAGCTCCCATTGCAGAACAATTAAAAAATCAATTCAGAAAGTTAGATAAAAGCTGCAATGAATTTGTATCCAGAATTCGACAAATAAAAAATCGTCAAGATGAGGTAACAATTACTTTAGTTCAAATTGGTAATTTCATTATTTAAAAACATTATAATCTTAGGCCATTGTAATCTTAGGTGCCCGATAATTTCAATTCTGAGTTAGCCAGATGGGGCGTGGAATGTTTTTGGATTTTGATGATTAACAAACAAATTGGATTCCTTAATTCAGCGGGCTATGAAGAAAACTCTGAGCCCACAAAATTTATCAAAGCGCTAATGAATGCTCAGCTTTATTTAAGCCGCTGCGAAAATGGATTTCAATTCTGGCGATTTATGGATACACCTTCGTCCAAGAAACTGTTTGACGCTTGTGATGTGATTGATGGGTAAAAAGCTTTACTGAAAATGTGTTTAAACTTTTTGAGTTGATCGGAAAAATTAATATTAAAATAATAATTTGTATAGGATTATTGGAAAGTACATACGTTTTGCACAAACTAGCCAACAATATGATTCAGCTTTGAAATTGGAAAATGAAAACTATATTAATTCGACTATTTTAGAAACTATGTTGATCAAACATAATATGAACCCCAATGAAGTATCCACTTTATTGATGGATATGGTTATCCTTGGCGTATTGGCGGTGAGTTAACTATTGCAATACTTAAAGCAAAAGTTAATATGGAATACTTTCATTTGCAGACAACAAATAGTTTGTCATTCTTATTATATTATTTGTCAAAAAATCCTCGAGTGCAAAGAAATTTATATCACGAAATCATATCCAAAACCGCAAATGATTTAATTTTAGAAAAAAAAACGTTTGATGAAATGCCTTATTTGAATGCTTGCATTAAAGAGTGTTTAAGGTAAAAAAATTGCTTCAAGTCTGAAGTCTGATAATCTCATAAAATAATATTTTCCAAAAGACTTAGGCCACCTTTTCCATATCTTACTCGTTTACTGTCCAAATCCATTTCCTTGCACGGTTACACTATACCAAAAGGCGTAAGTTTTAAACAAATTTTTTTCGCTCATGCAGGCTCGAATTCAACAAAAAAATGTTAATTTCAGACTTATTTGATAATGGCCAATCAATTATCATCTCAAAGAGAAGAAAATTTTGAAGATTCTGAAAAGTTCAGACCCGAGAGATGGATGACAGATAATGTTTGCCATCCTAAAAATAGCTATTTACCTTTCGGAAAAGGATTAAGATCTTGTATTGGAGAGGACATGGCTAAAATAGAGATGATGTTACTTATAACAAAGGTATACTTTTAAATAAAGTTTAACATATAAAAATTGTATGTACGATACAAAATATTTTGCGTTTCAGATTTTGCTCGAATACCGGATTGAATATGATTATGGTGACATTCACAGTAATATGCTGATGATGAATGTACCTTCAAAACCTCTAAGATTTCGATTTATTGAAAGAGATGAGTGTAAAAACTGAACGTATGGTTTGTTGTTAAATTACAACTTTTTCTTAATTTAATAATTTTTTTGAACGATAATATTGTTTACTTGAGTAGTTTAACGAAAAAAATATGCAAGATAAAGCTTGTAAGCAAATATTAATGTTTAATTCCATCATTTCTTTATGAGGTACAATGTATTAACGTTAAATATAACTTTTTATATAGTTAAACACTGTTTGAGAAAGAATTTCCGATATCAATTTTGTGCTAAAGTGCAATAAATTAGTTTGTTACATTGACTCAATGATATTTATTCATCTAATATTATTCTTAAGTGCAAAAAATATGTAACTGTTGTTGATAAAAACTGGAAATAAAAAACTCAATCAAATCTTTACAATTTACTGGAGTGAAAAATTAGATAGACGCGTATACCAACCGAAGCATAATATTGCAACGTATATGCTTTTATTACACCTGGAATACTCACTACAACTGGTCTTTGGCTGAAAAATGTCAAAAGCGAGCTCAATTTACTCGCTGACTTAGATTTACGAATTACTGGTGTGTACAAAATACTTCGGGAAAATCGATCATTCTAAAAAACATATTTTTTCAGCATATTTTTTGTTTAAATAAATAATAAAAATAAAGGATATTCAACTGATTACTTGCATTTTCTTTCAAATCATCAGCGGCTTTAGCACTCACATATAATCTCAAGCAACCAGCTGCAACTAGCATAACGAATTGAATCAATACTTCTAAAGATTCGTGCTGAAAGCAACAAAATATTAGATAATATGACAATTTTATCCAGATTTTATACTTCTAAATAACTTACATGTAGAAGCTGAAAAGCACCACATATGACAGCTAATAACATAGTGGCATTTGTTTTTAATATAATTAATTTTACAGCAGTTTTTATTTTGTTGGTCAATCTAAAAAGATTTTGTTTGATACATCATTATATATAAATTATGTTATCAAAGAGTATACAAAAATGAACTGTTCATTACATAGTAAAAAATTAAGTATTACATAATAAGTTTTCGATGCTGATGAACACAGTTTTTTAATTCTAGCTCACTGACTGCTTTTTGAAGTTCAATTTCTAACATTTCAAATCTTGCAGCACTGAACCACAGCATAAAAGCAACCATTATGTCGACAAATATTCCAAATGCAGTCTGAAAAATAGCTAAAACCTGTGTTGCATAAATGCATATTAAAATAATGGAGGATTTAATTTCAAATGGATACCACGCATCAGCAGGCAAAGATTGACGGGTTACGATTGGCATGAGAGAAAATAATATAGCTACTAAAATGAATGTTAGGCCCATTAATAACTGAAAATCTCTGTATTTGTTTAGATATTTTTGTAAAAGTGCAGTATCATTTTTATTTGCTTCTTTGATAAATGTTCCGATTTCATGAAATACTATCTAGTAAAAAAATATGTGAGTAAAAATATTATGAATTTACAAAAATTACTGTGTACCTGAAAATTTTTGAGCTCCAGCTTGCTTTGAATTAAATTAAAGAATATTTCTGTTAAACAAGTAAGTTCTGATAAAGTTTTAGTCATTTTAACATTGTCGTGACGAAAATAATATACTCCCAAGATTAGAGGTACCAATAGAATGCAAACGTTTATAAAAGATATCCACCATCTGATTTGATGAATAAAAATTTCTCTTTTATCCGCTGTCAAATCGTACGGCCAAATAGATATATACTTTCCAATGAATTTCAAAAAAGTAAAAAAGTTAGAAGGACTCGAAAATATTTTCATTGCCGCCGTTATTTATATATATTTCTTGCGTATCAAAACTCACAGCTAAGTTTAAGTGACCATTAAACATAAGTACCCTAGCACTTGTTCATTTTTATCGATATGATTGACGCTGCATGAATTATTGAGTTCATTTGTTGTTTCTGTGACAGTATGAGAATGAGTAATTATGACACGAAGAAAACGAATTAAATATTCTGAACTCAGACATGATAAATGATAGGGAGTTTTCATACTTCTATTTGAACAGTTTTGCGGTATAATTTAATAGAAATTAGCTATTGAACGTAGGTCTATTTTGAACCACACTTTGAAATTTTAATTACTTTCATTATCGTTTAAAGAAGTACATCACAACTTTGAAACATAAATATTGCATGTATAGTTATGAATAATTTTTAATTGCATTGATATTATTCAATTATTGGTGTTTGATACTAGGATTTTCAAACTAGCAAAAAACTTGAAAGAAGTGAGCAAAAACTGAAAATCAAATATGGAAAACGATCATTTGCAGTATTATAGAGTAAAAATTATAATTAACCATACATACCTGCGAAAAAAATGACAGAGATAAGGTAGGAAGCAAATTATTAGCTTTTATAGTAACAGGATGTTGAGATTGTGCTATTACATGCAAAATATAATTTTTAAATTTTTGTTCTTTTTCTGTCCATTTAGAGTGGAAAGCCATTATGCCCACATTGAATTCCTATGGATTAAATAATTACTTAAGCTAAAAATTTTTATTAAAAATGTTGTTTTAGATAACATACTTTTTGTAATAGTGTATCAGCTGCCCAAGAACAAATAAAAAGACCTACTGATGCTGAAATAGCAGTCACTACATATTGTATTTTTACAGCTATTTGTTGGTCCTGCAAAATGTGCTTTATGATTTTAATAGTCATGGAATTGAGTCATACAATACTTTTCATCAATTGAAAATGTATATTAGACCAACCAACTTTTGTATACATATTTAAACATTCTCTAGGTTTACGCGCAGATTCATAAAATATATGGCTTTACATAAAACGGATGTGCTCAGGAATTCATAAAAGTGACGGGAAACGTGTTGACTGAAAGATTTTTTGTAGTTCTAAAAGTGGTAAAATTACTCCCGGTAAGTTCCAAGAGGCCATTTTTCGACCCTTCTTCCGAACACTGCATTTTCAGTACAATGGAGACTTAAAAAATTCAAATAAACAATTTAAACGTAAAATTTAATGATCTTTAAAATTAAACTTTAGATTTTCAAAAAAAAATGTGCAAATAAAAAGTTATCTCTGATTTTATAGAAAAAAAACTTCGTTTTAAAAAAAATTTCGACTTCCTAGTAGGAGTACACCAGTGGAATTAGATACTCGCACTTGGAAAATTTGTGATCGATTAGTCACTTCCTTAACTGTACAATACACGTCGTGAAACTGTAGTCTCGCGCTGTTGTTTATAAAACGTGAAGGAAGTGACTAATCGATTGCAAATTTTCGAGGTGCGAGTATCTAAGTCTTCTAGTATACCTACTTAGAGAAGTACCTTAAGGGTCCTCTATACACACTAGGTCGGTAACTATATTCGCTTATTTTGTACCCATTTTTTTCATTTAGTATACAACCTATGGTCTTGAAATTTTTTGGGAGTGGTCATGAAACTAATACAAATGTGCCTATGAAGCTATTTTTTCAGATAATTGAAAAAAAAAATTTTTACAATATTTATATGAAAAAATAGCTTCATAGGCACATCTGTATTAGTTTCATGATCACTCCCAAAAAATTTCAAGACCATAGGTTGTATACTAAATGAAAAAAATGGGTACAAAATACGCGAATATAGTTACCGACCGAGTGTGTATAGAGGACCCTTAAGGTGGGAAAGGTACCTTAAACCTACATTTATGAAAAATTTATTAATTATGAAGAAAAAAATTTTTTTTGGAATACACAGAGAAAACTCTGTTTTCTTCACTCTTTTTTCAAAGTTTTTCTCTGTGGAATATGAAAATTGAGGTCCCAGTCACCATAGAACCCTCCTCGATGAAGCAAGCCCACAGTCCTGACAGGTACCCCTGTGCCGTAGGATCCAGCTAGAACCGATGATTCAATCATGGTCCTTGGGGTCTCATTTTGATCATTAGATGTGTGGTTACAAACGCAAGCACTTTCAGATTTTTTAATTAGTTATACACAATTTGCCAGCCACATATGCACATTTATTCATTAATACTATATAATAAAATACAATTATGCTAGGGATGTAGCCTGAAAAAAGTGCAAATTTTGTCCAATACCTTTGAAAGTGCTTGCGTTTGTAGCCATTCACATGTAGAACAACCCCTGAAAGTTTCAGCTCAATTGCTCAAACGGTTCTCATTAAAAGTTACGGCATGCAAGCAATTTTGAGATTAAACGTAACTGCCCAAGAGTTGAAAAAAACCAAAATACATCAATATATGTCATAATGATACTCTCATGTCACTGAGGCTGCTTAAAACTTTTTGGACGATAAAGAACAGTAATTCAATTTGAATTTTCAACATATTGGACCCACAAGGACAATGTTTAATTATCCCAGACAGCCACACAAAGCCAAATGCGCCAATTTCATTACTACATTTTATAAGTTGTACTAAAATATTAGTATACGCTAATATGGGTTTTATGTGGAAACTGGTAACTAAGTTGATTATGTCCAAATCAACTTTTCACACAAATATACACAATCTCACATTAGAACTTGAACCCAGTCTTCTACCTATTCACTAACATTCATAAAACATTTATCACTAGATACTTGGAAATAAATCACTACAAGTTGATCAATTATCACTAATCTTGTTCATCACATGCAACATACAATAATATATATGATACAGTCATATACACATACATAAAGTACAGTGACATACATATACACTGATGTATATATGTCAATTTACATATGTACTTCTGTATTTCTTGAATTAGAACTGCTAAAAATGTCACATTTTTATAACAAGCTATTGAAACTTCTTCATAGCTTTATTATGAAACACTATGTTGAGTTGCAAAGATATAATTGCACTCTACATATACTTTTTTCACTTTAAAAAAAATGTAATTTTTAGCCATTGGAAAATCAAGAAGCAGTCAGCAGACTGTTGTTGACATTTGATCAGGGCTCGTGCACGAAACAGAGAGAGACAGAAGATATGCCGAAACCCACGTGCTGCGAGTGGTGGCGTTACTGTACACCTATAGCTGTGTAAACAAACAAATTTCTGCTGGATGTACTCTAACCAAAGAATAAAACGAGTATCAATAGATGGCGCTACGGACTTATGAAAGTCTCGAGATTCATGACAGATTGGCCACGATATATCTTTGAGTCGTTTCATTCATTTTTTCTAAATAATCGTAAAAGTATCGGTACTAAATAACCTGTACATCACGGTACAGTTAACATTTTGAAATTCCGATCACGGCACTGGAAAGCCGAGGAAAAATCCTATCAAAAAAGTCAATGAAAAAAAATTTTTTTTTTTATATTTTAGGTGCCTTTCCCCCCTTAAGTACCTTAGGGAATTTTTACATATTTCTTCAACCACTTTTTCTAACAAAATGGTGGCCATGAAGTAAACTGCTTATGCGTATGATCATGCAAGAAAATGCATTTACGGGTGAGAATGTATAAGTTTTCACTCGAAAATCATTGAGTTCAGAGATAAAGTTTATGTAACAAAAAATTTGAGAATGTTTCTTGATCAATTCTAAAACTTTTTTTTCTATAAACTTTTTTCATAACCTCGATGGTTTTCGAGATAAAAATTAAATATTTTACATTCATGATCACTTCTGATCATCGTACTTATATTTTTAGTTTTTCGCCGCAACTAGTTCAAAAAAATTCTCCAAAGGGATTTTTCACACGAAATTTTTAGGTTTTTTTTTTGTGTAAACAATCGCATCGATCGCGAACGAAAAATTTCGTCACGTTGGGCGTTAATGAGTCTAGTTATATTTATAGATATGCCTCTTCAACAATAATTTTTATTACAAAAATAAAATATGCTCAAAATATTCATCTCATTATAAATAATGTTTTCTTGTTTTAAAAAAAGTCCCAATTTTTATTCATTACAGGAAAGTTGGATCATGCTCGACGTAAGAGACTTCTCGTGCCATATAATACTAACAAAAAGACCTTCTCACCTTTGGGTCATGGATCTCTCCCAACATTTTTTTGGGGACTCAGTACACCTAGAAAACATGCTCCTTTATATAGGTTAGCGTGAATAGGCACTATGAATCATAGATAAAATAAAGACCTTAAAATAATAAAAATGTATAGGTAAAACGCATAAGATACTAATTTTCGATCTTTAAACTATTTGGGTCACTTTTTTTAAACACCTGGTCCGTAAAATTTTTTCATCCATGAGATGATAAGTGCAAATAAGAGCTGAAAAGAGCAGAAAAATTTTTGGGAAAAATCCATGACCCAAAGGTGAGAAGGTTTCCTTGTAAATATTGCTTTCTCCATGGAGGAAGCTATGTGATGGGTTCGAATATGAGTTTTTGAACCGGACCTCGTAGGACAAATTTGGTTTACATATTTATAAACTAGATTGAATTCCTAACACATGTCTGTATGTGTGTGTGTGTGTGTGTGTGTGTGTGTGTGTGTAACGTGTGTAGAGCATTATCTAGAAAACGGTACGGTGAATCGTGTTGAATTAAATTGCATTTATTGTCAAATGTATCAAGGATGAAGCCCGTAAAATTTTTTGGTTTATCATATGATTTAACATTTCCAACTTAATTTAAGGGGAGTCATACACCAATTGTCACACACTGGGAGTCACACTCCTCTTTGTCATATTTATCATATAAACCACAGTTTAATGTCGATCTACATTTTCAACATATAATTGACATCTTTGAGCCCTAAAAAATGTAAAAAAAGTTGCAGAATAGGCCTTTGCATCTAAAAATAGCTCATTTTTGCTAATTTAGCCTTTCGGCACTGTGCGCAAGGTTCAGATCAGAGTTATTCAGGTGGAAGATCCTGATAGGTCTCAAAATCTTCAGAAAAGTATCCTTTATGGGCTGAGTTGTGTGGAATTTTGATTAGAGTTACAAAAAAGTTTGTATGCCAACAGATGTGAAAAAAGCAAGAAATAAAAAAATTTATCAATGTTTTTTAGCACATATTGAATAATAAAACTGATATGAAGGTCTAAATCAAAATTCTACAAAACTCAGCCCATAAAGGATACTTTTCTGAAGATTTTGAGACCTATTAGGATCTCCCACCTAAATAACTCTGATCTGAACCTTGCGCACAGTTCCGAAAGGCTAAATTAGCAAAAATGAGCTATTTTTAGATGCAAAGGCCTATTCTGCAACTTTTTTTACATTTTTTAGGGCTCAAAGATGTCAATTTTATGTTGAAAATGTAGATTGAGATTAAACTTTGGTTTATATAACAAATATGACAAAGAGGAGTGAATTGGTGTATGACTCCCCTTAATCATTGACAAATTGAATTAGTACTTAACATACTTTTTGTAGTAGTACAAAACTCTCTCTCACAGACTACTCTCGCTCACAGACTACTCTGTAGAAATATATACAGAGTAGTCTGTGAGCGAGAGTAGAGTAGTTGACTGATTGCGAAAACGATCGGACTTCAGCTCATTCGAAGCGTAAAGCAGAGAATACCCTCATTAGCTATCGAAGCGATTTTGCGTGAGATAACCAGAGTTTTGGAGAGTAGTTGTACTTGCTGTGTGATTGCGTTGTGAGTGTGGATCAGCACCGTGTGATACGTGTGTGTTTGCATGGCGCATAGGTGTGCCAGCAAATAGCCTCGTCGGGTGTGTGAGTCTGCACGACTTTGCACTCGCAAGTGCTAGAGTGTGTGAGTGTGAGCGGAGACGTGGTGAGTAACCTCGTCGTCCGGGTTCGGCGCGACACGGCCTTAAGGCCCTCAGGCGACCCGTACTTCGGCACAACCGGCCTCTTGGCCTCGCAGACGCGTGTAAATTCAGTAGGGCTTAGACGCAGAGTAGGTAGGAACGCGGAGATAGGCGCGGTACATCGGCGCGTGCGAGCAGACCTAGTGCTGCATCGGACCTGCGTTGCCTTGAGCGAGTCTTGGAGTACCTGTGCTAGCCGGCCAGCTAGTCGCGTAGGAGAAAGTGCGATTGTGTTGCTCGTCGGCAAATCCAAACCCCGTGGCGTTCGATTATTTATAAACTTTTTAATTTTATCAATATATAAATTTAGAACTTACACTCACTAGTTGTATAGTGCTAAACAAAACTCCTCCAACCGATGTTATAATTGTACAAAAAACTAGAACATTTATTGTATTCCTTACTTCTCTGGTATATCTGAAACGATTTATTTAAGCATTTTATTCAATGACACATCTTTTAATCTAAAATTTAAATTTTGTACCATTAAAGTGGTTCAATTTACAATGAAAAATTCATCCTCTCTTAAAATAATGATGGACCTAAAGTGAAGCCATTTTATACGGCCTCTAATTGATCGACTGACTTTTGACTCGAACTAGAATTTAATAAAGTGACATCTGCAGTCAAAATATCAACTATTTCAAAGGGTGACTGAAAAACTGATGCGCGCGAAGAGCGTTTGAAAGTTACTAGTTAGATTATAAATTAGGGTTAAAAAATATGGGTGAAAATGATAATTTTTTAAATGTTGAAAATGTACTACCGACAATAGGGTTCGATAAGAAACCTAAACTTTTTTTCTCTTTTTTCGGGTTTTGTACGCACCTTTCGGATTAAAAATCCCTTTTTTATCAAAAATTGTTTACTTAAAAACAATACGAAGCCTTAAGGGGATATTCCCATTTTAAATGATAAAAACATTATTTTTAAAAAAATTTTCTTCTACCAAATCTATGAACTGATTTAATTCCAATTCTTTAGGATCTTGTTTCTTACACAGAATACAAGAAAAGTATGGAAACACTTGGAAATATCACGGAATAAACATAAAAAATGATCTTGACCATGAAATGACCTTGAATTAAACCTTCAAGTTCTAGCTGCCCAAAAATTTATTTTTAAAAAGGAACTGCCATTTTTTATTGCAGATTTGAAAAAAGCAAAAAATTTTACGTTCGATTATGCCTTTAGTTTTTTTCTAAGATCATTTTAAGGGCGCTATACACTTACTCATACCCCGTTTAAACTAAAGTTAAGCTCAAGCAAGGAATTTTTTTCTAACTGCAAACCCAAAATGGACTTGGAAAAAAATCAAAAAAGCTTATTCAAACGTAAAATTGTACGCTCTTTTTGATTGGTACAATATAAAATGTGGGTGACTGTGCAAAAAAGTGATTTTTGGTTCGCTATAGCTTTAAGTTTACGTTCAAGGTCAAATTCAAGGTCACCATTGGAAACTAGTTACGCTCATGCGCTAATCTTACTACGGTACGCTATTATGAGTCACTTATATTAATTTCGGGCCAAGGAGGCCTAAACTTGAACTTAGCACAGTGCTATAAAAAGTATACAATACTTATAACTCAAGAAGCGCATCTGGATCCGACACTAGGGCCCTCGATACTTTCAGTTATTACTTTGTTAGTCACGCTGTGTAATAACGGGCTCCTAGAATATGGCCGATTCTCTGTGAAATCGAATGGCCAAAAAATTTTTTTTTCTGCAAATATGAAAAACTTGCTGTTCCCGATGTCAGAAATGTCCCCAAATTTTATTAGAATTTTTGGGACCATCTATCACTCTTTTTCAGGGGCCCGAAGTTGGCCATTTTAGGGTTTTTTTGAAATTCATGAAAAATCACAAATATTAAAATAATTCCTGGATTAAAGTAGAATGATTCAAAAGTAAAAGTGCCCAGCAACTTTTTTGTTGGAAATTGTCCAAATTTTCAGAAAAAAAATATGCCAAAGTGATTGGAACAATCTAGGTAAATGTAAAGCAAAAAAACTGCAAAAAAAACATAAAACAAGAAATCTACTCGAGTTCGAACCGGACTTTCATTTCCTAAACTATGTAAAAAGCTTCCCAAAGATGTCAACTACTGCCTGATAAAGTTTTGTAATGGGTCTTAAAGTTTAACTCAATGTAGACAACAATGTGTGGTGAAAAACGTGCAAAAAAGGTCAAAAATGGGCCTAAAATGCCTAAAATCACCAAAAACAGCCATTTTCAGTCCTTTTTTGCACGTTTTTCGCCATACATTATTGTCTACATTGAGTTAAACTTTAAGACCCATTACAAAACTTTATCAGGCAGTAGTTGACATCTTTGGGAAGCTTTTTACATAGTTTAGGAAATGAAAGTCCGGTTCGAACTCGAGTAGATTTCTTGTTTTATGTTTTTTTTGCAGTTTTTTTGCTTTACATTTACCTAGATTGTTCCAATCACTTTGGCATATTTTTTTTCTGAAAATTTGGACAATTTCCAACAAAAAAGTTGCTGGGCACTTTTACTTTTGAATCATTCTACTTTAATCCAGGAATTATTTTAATATTTGTGATTTTTCATGAATTTCAAAAAAACCCTAAAATGGCCAACTTCGGGCCCCTGAAAAAGAGTGATAGATGGTCCCAAAAATTCTAATAAAATTTGGGGACATTTCTGACATCGGGAACAGCAAGTTTTTCATATTTGCAGAAAAAAAATTTTTTTGGCCATTCGATTTCACAGAGAATCGGCAATATGTATCATAAATCATAAAATAGTATTATGAACTGTGATTTGATTGTTTTGTATTATTGTACTCACCCTAAAAGTTTCCTATAAGTTATTAAATTACGTCTGAGCTCACTAACACTATTAAAATCATCCATAGAATTAGCTAACATTTCAAATCTGGCAGTTGTAAACCATAAAAAAAATGCAACTAAACAGTCAAGCAAAACCGCCGCAGATGTTTGAAGAGCAACAAGAGATTGATGCATATAAATAAAAATTTTCATGATAACTTCTTCAGTTGAAAATGGATATATAGCATCGGTTGGAAATGTCTGTGGCAAAAACAATGGTCCAATGATGAAAGAGATGGATGTAAAATATACCCAAACAGTGGTTCCAATGTGTAGAATTGAACACTTTTCAACATATTTTTGTAAGATTTTAGTCTCAAAATGATTGACTTGATTAATGAATTCTTCCATTTTTTCCAACAGATTCTTTCCAAAAGGTAATAAAAAAAAGAAAAATTATTTGTAAATTATTAAAATTTTTAACATACGTATTTTTATCAAAGGTATTATACTCTTTCATTTTTGAGACTGAATGAATAAATTGAATACTGCAAGAAAACCATACCTGTAATTGAGGCCGACGCATTCTACAAAATATCATTTTCATTGAACACTGGCAAACAGCACAAGATAAACATACTGACTTGGTCATTATTTCAGGGCTATTTCTATAAGTGTATACAGCGGCCATCAAAGGAAAAAGTAAGCAAAGAGAAGATGCAAACATAAACCACCAAGATAATTTGAATATTTGTTTTTTCATAGCAGAAGAATTTTCAGAGGGAGGACAGCAACACAACAGCAAAACACTTTTTTTTGTAAATTCAAGAGCTAGTTTGATTTTGGATAATTTCTGCATCGTAAATCGAAGAGTGCGCGATAAATTTTTTTTGTAGCTAAAATCAACAATTTGATACAAGTAATTTAAAAAAAAGCTATTTTTAAAGCTTAAAAAAGTGGTCTTAAATCTTCTACCACTGTGAGTAATAAACTACTGTAAGGTATTGTATAAAAACTCAATGATTATGATTATTTAAAGTTTGTATCTGGAACTATGAGGCATTATAATCAATACCCTCGATGAAGTATTGCGTTACTATTTAATTAAGTGGTAGATTTTACTTTTTGTAGTAAGTTTGTGCAGAATCTAACTGACCTAATGCAGATATATTGTTTATAAATGAGTAGTTATAGACTGAGATCGATTCAATCATTTTATTTTATAACCTTTGATGATGTAAGATTTAAAAAGTCACAGTGTTTTACATTTTTTAATAAATGATGAAAGTTTTAAATTGTTTCATTTTCATGTGGATACTGTGAAATTTTTTTCGTCATTTTGTCGAATTGATTTAAATAAATGTGAGTCTCAAACATGAGCATTTTGAATAATATTTCTAAAAAGACAATCCGATGATTCGTCATTTTCATCTGAAAATGGAAACATATCCATACAGGACCTTGATAAGGTTTTATATTAATTCTCTTTATGCCTATGAATCATTTGTCAATGTATCATGTTCGCTACTATCATTAGATGTGATAGTTTAGTTACCATTATGCAATTCATCATTACATGTTATAGGCAAAATGAACAAAATCTATTCTAAAATAGATATGTACAATAATATTATAACTAGCGAAATACCTCGCTCGATAACGCTCGCTCGGTTAGTCAGAGTTTTGTGAGAATTTTTAAGAAAGCAAGAATTATAAAATAAATTTTCACAAAGTATATACCAGGTATATGTAATGTATATACCTTTTACAATGTACATACATTGTAAGTACAAGGTATTTATTATATGGGCTATATGGCGTCAACATATCGACTTATTCTGAATGTAAAACGGTTAAACGATTTTATCAAGACGGAACATTTTAAAATGGAAAGTCACAAGACCGCGTTAAACTTGTTAGAAAAAGGCTACTTCATGTCAAAAATTGACTTAAAAGACGCATATCACGTAATATCAATAGATACAGAGTTCAGAAAATATCTTCGTTTTAAATTTTGGTTATTGGCATAAATTTTGGTTTTGGACATTATGGTTATTGGCAAAGATTATACGGAGTGTAAAAGCAAATTATGATATAACAAAAGCGACGTTAGAATTTCTTGGGTTCGTTTTGCACGACAAAAAGTGTCGACCAGAGCCAGAACAGCGCCGAGCGTTCTTGGGGTTTGTTTTTGATACAAGAAGCATGACATTGGCATTGCCAGATGATAAAAGAGTTAATATCAATCGGATGATAAACGATTTTAAAAACAGAAAAACTTGTAAAATCCGCGAGTGGGCTCGATTTATAGGAAGTCTTATGGCGTGCTGTCCAGCGCTTAAGTATAGCTGGGTGTACGTCAAAAGACTCGAACGTCTCAAACTAACAAGTTTAGAAGCCAATAACGACTCTTATAACGCACAAATGGTTATTACAGAAGTAAAATCGGATTTGGACTGGTGGAGTAATAATATATTTATCGGAAACAACACTATCTCGAGGTTACCTCATGTTATCGAAATTTTCTCGGACGCATCTCTAACCGGATGGGGAGCATACTGTAATAATGAACGCGCTAACGGCTTCTGGACGATCGATGGTAAAAATAATCACATTAATTTTCTCGAATTGAAAGCAGCCTATTTTGGATTGCAATGTTTTGCAAAAACGCTAAAGAATTGCAATATTCTTCTGCGTATCGACAATACAACAGCAATAGCATACTTGAATAAGATGGGCGGTGCGCAACATACACACTTGAACGACATTACCCGGGAAATTTGGCAATGGTGTGAGCGTCGTAACATCGTTATTTTTGCCTCGTATATAGCCTCCAAAGAGAACGTTGAGGCTGACGAAGAATCGCGCCGACTCGAGCCGGAAACCGAATTTTCTCTGTCCGACTACGCGTTCAGAAAGGTGATAAAAAATTTCGGCATCCCGGACATCGATTTATTTGCTAGTCATTCAAATAAGAAGTGCGAGCGGTTCATCTCGTGGAAAAAAGATCCCGAGGCAGAAACAGTGGACGCGTTCACGATAAGCTGGAAAGGCTTATTTGTTTACGCATTTCCACCTTTGAGTATCTTGCTGAAAGTATTGCGAAAGATAAAAATCGATGCAGCAGAGGGCATTGTTATAGTACCTGACTGGCCGGGCCAGCCATGGTTCCCTCTATTCAAAAAAATGCTCGTGAAGGAGCCCATAAAGTTCAAACCTAATAAAAATCTTATTATGTTTTCCAATAGGCATCATCCAATGTGGAGGTCGATTACCCTGGTGGCAGGTCAGTTATCCGGACGGCTATAATTAAGCAGGGAATACCGGAGCAGGCTACCGACGTNCACGTTTTTAAACTTCAAAAATCCATCGACACCATCTAAAATCATTTTTTTGAGTTCTAGTTTATGGGAAAATTCATTTTAAACCTCAAATTTTCTGATTCCGATGGATCCCCCGAGATACAAAAAATTTTTGAAAAAGTGGACCACCCCACTATATATGCTTATAGCTCAAAAAAGTGTTTTTTTTGTATAAATACGCTTGACTTTTGAGCCGTTTTTTTGGCCATATCATGCGTTTTTCGAAAAATCTAAGGTCACCATCGGAAAGAGCTGTATCTTTCAAAATACATGTGTCGATTATTTTTTCAAGGTCACTAGTAGTTTTACCAGCGAATTAGAAAAGTTTTGATCGGTGGATAATGGAGCGCGCGTTTTGCCTGCACTAATTATTTTTCCTCGGAACACAAATGCTTATAAAAAAATTACCTATTAAAATTTCGATTGTTCACGCATTTTTTTAGCTTCCTAGGACCTTCAAGAACAATACCCAATGTTCAAAGTATGCGTCCAACGAAAAAAAATTGTTCCGTTTTTAGTCGAAAAATTCGAAACTAAATTCCGGAATTGCTCATATAATAAAATTATTTTTTTTTTTTTAGTCATCGATTTTCCAGATTCGTTTGGGAGGCCAGAATTTTAGCCCGAGACTCATTCAACGCGTAATATATAGATGATGATTTAAGGACTTTTAGTCACCATTGAATAAAAAAATGTATTAAATTTTTAGAAAGAATTTTTTTTCCCGTCCTCAATGCTTTTTTTTTAAACTTCGGAATTTTAATCGTTTAATAAAGTACAGCACTTTCCATTTTCCTTTTTCGTATATCTTGTGCGTGAAATTTTTCTTTTTTAGCGTTTTCTGTCGAGTCAAATTTGATCATTTCTCACAATATTAAAAGCAAACAGTCTACAGGTAGTATAATTCTTTGATACATTAAGAGTTACTGGCGCAACTTCGAGCGAAGTGATTCAATCCTTGTTATGAATGAGTAGTTTAATTATGAAAGATATTACGAAAAATAACGTCACAAAAAAAACAAAATTTGTTTGAGGTGGCTATAGCGAATTACTATTAATTATCCTACGTCCTTGCTTTTCTACATTATCAGATTGAAGTCATCCCCGTACGGCTCACACATCACGAATTTTTTGAGTCCTTGCAAGAAAAACTTCCCTCGGCTCGGTGGTAGGAAGTCTTGTACGCTCTCTACAGCGTTGTACAAATTCGAGTGTTTGAAATGGCAACCGGCCAAGATCTAGTTAATTTTGTATATAGCCAACTGTCAAGCGACATTATGCGCGAAATTCGAATAGGGTTAAATAGCTGGCTTTTAAGCAATCATTCTTCAGTTGATACTTTATATTGTAGTTTCAATGTACTTGATCGTAGACATTAAATGAAAAATAAAATATGTCAATCCTCAACTATAATAGCTACTTTCAGAGCTCGAATTTTACTAAAATATATATGGGTCAGATTCAGAATTTTTCAAATAAACCTGCGGGCGAAGTTCACAGATTTTCATGAAATTTTGGTATGTTATAGTACATCATAAAAGGGTCCCAAAACCAAAATTTTAGACCCCCTCCCCCTCCTAACCCTCACTCCCGCTATCAACTTTCATTTTCTATCTATATTTATTCTGAATGCCTGAAGTAATTAAAAAATCTGGAAAAATTCATGAAGATACTTTTCAACAATCTAAAATACCTTGAATTTTTTCAGATTTTTTGAGTGCTTCAGGCTTTCAGAAAAAATCATTGAAAATTACAATTGTTTTATTTTCGGTGAAATTGTTCGATATACCAGACCGGAGTATTTTTTTCTTAATTCTGACACCAAAAAACGAATCCTTGAATTTTTCCCGAATTTTTCATTGATGCCGATAAAGCCTAGAGCTGAAAAACCGCTTTTTTCCACGAAAATAATTTTTTTAGGGCGGTACAGAGCCTCAACAAATCTGGATGAATTTTTTTATTTTTTTCTTCATTAAAATACATAATCTCAAATTTTTTCAGATTTTTCAATTGAAGGCGATAGCCAGTAACCTTTTCCAGTAACCTTTTTTGTTAAAAATAACATTTTTCGGCTCCAGATACTATCGCCTTCAATTAAAAACTCTGAAAAAATTTAAGATTATGTATTTTAATGAACAAAAGAAGAAAAAATTTTTTCCCAATTTTTTGAGGCTTCCTACTGCCCTAAAAAAATTATTTTCGTAAAAAAAGCGGCTTTTAAGCTCTAGGCTTTATCGGCATGAATGAAAAATTCTGAAAAAATTCATGAAATCGTCTTTTGGTGTCAGAATTTAGAAAAAAATACTTTGGTCTGGTATATCGAACCATTTCACCGAAAATAAAATAATTGTAATTTTCAATGATTTTTTCTGAAGGCCTGAAGTACTCAAAAAATCTGAAAAAATTCTAGGTTGTTTAGATTGTTGAAAAGTATCTTCATGAATTTTTCCAGATTTTTGTATTACTTCAGGCCTTCAGAATAAATATAGATAGAAAATGAACGTTGATAGCGGAGTGGGGAGTAGAAAGGGGGAGGGGGTCTAAAATTTTGGTTTTGGGACCCTTTTATGATGTACTATAACATACCAAAATTTCAGGAAAATCCATGAATCTCGCCCGCAGGTTTTTTTGAAAAATTCTGAATCAGACCCATATGTAGTAAATAAAGAGGGTGAAAATACAGAAATTAAGATAATATAAAAGAGAATGAAGTGAATGGTTCATAGTTAGCATTAAAAAATAATCTATTTTAATTCGTAAAAAGCAAGTACGCTGTATTTGCAATTTTTTCTAAAACTAATTTTATAGCAAAACTCTTCATTTCCATGTCATTGCACATTATCATTGGTTTTGGTGAACTTTGGTATAAGGCGAGTAGTGTCCACTTTGGACACTTTCTCTATCGTGACATATAACTAAAATAAGGAAATAATGCTCTCCCAAAGTATCCGCACTAAAAAATGTATATGGCCAATTCTCTGTGTAGTCGAATGGCCAAAAATTTTTTTTTTTTTGCAAATATGAAAAACTTATTGTTTTTGATGTCAGATTTGCCCCAAAAAAATTTTAGAAAAATTGGGGCCTTCTATGACACTTTTTCAGAGGCCCAAAGTTGGCCATTTTAGCGTTTTTTCGAAATTCATGAAAAATCACAAATATTCAAATAATTCCTGGATCAGTGTAGAATGAATCAAAAGTAAAAGTGCCCATGAACTTTTTTATTGTAAATATTCCATATTTTCAGAAAAAAATCATTCAAAAGTGATTGGAGCAACCTGTGGGGTTATTAATTGAAAACAACTTAAAGTAAAACAAGAAATCTAATCGAGTTCGAACCAGACTTCCTTTTCAAAACTATGTAAAAAGCTTCCTAAAAATGTTAACTATTGCCTAATAAAGTTTTTTAATGGGGTTTAAAGTTTAACGCAATGTATACAACAATATGTGTCAAAAAACGTGCAAAAGAGGTCGAAAATAGGCCTCAAATGCTGTTTAGTTATTGTTCAGTCTTGGCATGTAGGGCGCGACTGTGCCGGGTGCTTGATGGGAGAATAACGGACAGAGATGCTGTTTGTGCTTATTGCCTCAGTTCTCGATCGAACTGCTTGATCGTAACAGTCGAAGTTGGACCTTGAAAGCTCATCTAGCTCTCGACCCAGTCGCGCGTTACTCGCTTTTACGCCAACTAGCAATCTCGATTTACCGACGAGAATTTTTCATTAATAAAGTTATTAGTTTTGTTAAAGAATTGGCTAAGCGAATAATTTATTATCCTCTCACGGAACAAATGCCTAAAATCATTAAAAACAGCGAATTTTTTACCTTTTTTAGAAGGCCCACATTTTCTAAAATTTTTTATGACAAATCCGATATCGAAATCAACAAGTTTTTCGTATTTGGAAAAAAAAATTTTGCCATTCGACTTCACAAAGAATCGGCCTTAATAAGCCAGTTTCGTGATCATTAATTTTTACCACCTTCTCGCCATCGTTTAAGTATCTGCATAAAGATACAAATAAATACTTCGGAGTTTTCGTGAAGGTGGAAATGTTTTTGCTGTGTTTTGTTGAACGAACACATGATTTACAATCTAAATTCGTGTCCTCTCCTTCAAACGTCTCCTTCAAACGTCTCCTTCATCAACTGGTTGAGTGTGAGTCTTGTTGAAACTCTGGAGAAATAAACATTAATAACGTAGCCAGGCTAGTAAAAATCGATTTTGCTACCACAATTTGAGCATGCGAATTCTTCGTGAATTATGAATTCATAACTGATGTTCATGTATTGGTCCAAATGATTCAACAGAAGATTGATGAACTCCGCTGCATCTTGATGTACATTAGAACTAAAAGACGGATCCAATATACACAAAGACGATTTAAATTCCCTACAAAATTTAAATCCATTAAATGAATATTCATTGTTTTCATAATTTGTTAAATTTCACGTAAATTCCCCCAGCAGCACTCCACGCGATATTAATGAGTAGAATCATACATTTTTTAATTCAATTTAAAAGTATTTAAATGCATTCAAAAAATCAGCTTTGTGATGGTAACTTTAGACTTTTCTAAGAGACGTTTATAGATTTAACCGAAATATACCGAAAGAAAGAAGATAAAGCATAACTTTCGGCGTCCAGTCGGCGCAAAACGCGTGTAAAAACTTATTAATACCGCGTGCTGCGGCGCTAACAAAGTTGACATGTAATACCACTTAAGTTCTTACGATAAAATAGTTCTAATTCCATTTCCACGTTGTGTAGAATTCACCATCGGGAAGTTGGCAGATGAATTTTACAATAGAATGATTTAAGGGGGGAAAGGCACCTAAAATCTAAAAAAAAAAAATTTTTTTTCATTGACTTTTTTGATAGGATTTTTCCTTGGCTTTCCAGTGCCGTGATCGGAATTTTAAAATGTTAACTGTACCGTGACGTACAGGTTA